CAGACACCACAGATACAAATGAACAACAACAGCAAAGTGTCTGAGGCAGGATTTAAACTCAAATCTTGATTCATATTCTAACAACTCTCATTTTAAGGCAGCTAGATTGCACAGTAGATAGAACATCAGGCCTGGAGTCAGGAAGAAATGAGCTTAAATCTGGCCTCAGACATTTACTAGCTGTGTGACCCTGGGCAAGTCACTTAACCCTGATTGCCTCCCCAAAATGAAAACAAAACAGTGATCTTAAAACAAAAGTTTGACCATCATTTCCCCATCCCTCCCCTCTCCTCCAAGTCCAATGGCTCCTAATCACCTTCAGAATCAAATACAAAACCCTCTGTTTGGCTTTTAAAATCTTGATAACCTTGCCCCTTCCTACCTTTCCAGTCTTCTTACATTTCACTTCCTTCTGGGTACCTGATGACACTGGCCTCCTTGCTGTTTGTTTTCCATGTTTCTCAAGCAAGACACTCCTCTCTCCATTGCAGGCATTATCACTGGCTGTACCCCATGCCTAGAATCCTGTCCATCTCATCTCTGCCTCCTGGTTTCCCTGGCTTTCTTCAAGTCTCAGCTAAAATCCCACCTTCTGCAAGAAGTCTTTCCTGGTAACCCTTACTGCTGATGCCATCCCTCCAGGATGACTGCCAAATTATTTCACATAAATATATATTTGTATTTATGTATACACACATACATGCCATGTTTGTTTATGTGTATATGTACATATATGCACATATATGTTATGCATGTTTGTGTGTATGTGTATATATATATGTGTATACATATATTTATATGTACATACACACATATATATGTATATAATTGGGGGAAGGTTGCTTTTGAGGGTGGTTATACCCTGTAATAAATGTGGATGTGGAAATTCAGCATTATCTTTTATTATTTCTTGCCCTTTGAAATGTAGATTAGCTAACTAATCATTACTCTAAACTCTTGAGCAACTCTAATCCTTTTATTTTTATAGATTTTTTTTCCTTTAGTGCATCTAATGGCCTTCTAAGGTGGGGATTATTCTTTGGGGGGCACCAGGGATAACAAAAGTCATGAAGTGAAGACAAAATCAAGCTGAGAGATAGATCTTCTTTTTTTTTTAGTTTAGATATTCCTTTCTTGCCTCTCTGTACTCCCATGAAAGACAGATGCTTCCATTTTCTGCTTTCTACCCCATCAACACGCTGACAGAGTCTGGTATCTCCAGGCCACCTTTCCCCCAGGGCAATTGGTACAGGAAAGGGAACGGTGCAAACAACCTAACTGAAACCAGCAACACCAGGAAGTGGCATCAAACCAGAAGCCAATGGTCAAATTTCAGTTCAAGCATTCATGCCTCAGAAATCAGCAAATGCTCCAAATTAAGGCTTGATTTATTATTTTGCTGATTGTCTAGACTTAAGAAATGATAGGGGCAGCTAGATGGCACAGTGGATAGAGTGCTGGGCCTGGAGTCAGGAAGACTCATCTTCCTGTGTTCAGACACTTATTAGCTGTGTGACCCTGGTCAAGTCACTTAACTCTGTTTGCCTCAGTTTGCTCATCTGTAAAATGAGCTGGAAAAGGAAATGGCGGATCACTCCAGTATCTTTGCCAAGAAAAACCCAAATGGAGTCACAGAGAGTCAGACATCACTGAAAATGACTGAACAACAACAAAGAGTGATGGAGAAAATGTTAATAAAGCAGATTAAATTAAAAGTATGCCCTGCTTT